GATAGATAGATAGATAGATAGATAGATAGATAGATAGATAGATAGATAGATAGATAGATAGATAGATAGATAGATAGATAGATAGATAGATAGATAGATAGATAGATAGATAGATAGATAGATAGATGGGTAGGTGGGTAGGTGGGTAGTGGGTAGTTGGGTAGGTGGGTAGGTGGGTAGGTGGATGGGTGGGTGGTGGGTGGATGGATGGATGGATGGATGGATGGATAGGATGGATAGGATGGATAGGATGGATAGGATGGACTGGCTGGGTGGCAAAATCTTCGAACGGCTTATTGGCCAACTTCCCGTCCAGCTGTCGAGCTAAAACTTGGCACATAGACTCGGTGCCGATGACAAAACATTCTTTTTAAATTTTCAGCCCCACCCAAACCCCCAAAAATATATTTTCCTGTTTTTCGAGGTGAATATTAAATGAAATTCCCGATAACTGCGCTCAATGGGATTATTTTTCTTTAAATATCGCATATTGTGTTTGGTGCCTGACATTTTTTGTTGTTTTTTTTCTGAAAGAGTTGGAGAAATTAACTTGTGGTGTGAAAGCTGGTGGGTCATTAGATTATTAATATATTTCAGGTGCGTGAAAAAATCGACGGTAGCGAGCCTGGGGCAGCACTATATTGTCAATTTTTCAACCCCTCCCCCACCCCACCCCACCCCCAAAGCATTAAATTACACTAGAGTAAATGGTCCGAAGTTATCGGGATAATAATGATAGGTCCTTTGCGATTATTTCTACCTTCTATTGCAAAATCTTATGACAATTCCTAACTTTAAAAAGAAGTATCTATGTTATGATATTTACGTTTATAACATCATTAAGTTTTGAGATTTATATTTATCTCCTATATATTATACGCCTACCCTACTCCATTTTACGCCCCTAAAATACTTTTTTGTCCCTCTAAACATGACATTAAATTATCCGATCTAAATTATCATTAATTATATCACTTTTTTCACTAAAGAAGTTAATTGAGGGACGATTTCTACGCTAGAGAAATACTTTAGAATTACCCCTTTCCCTGCCCTTGAACTGTACTTTTTTTTTCTCTCAAAATTGTAAAAGACATAATTTTGAATTAAAAACAAAACATCTAGACTATATCTGATATAAATATATTTTATATCAAAGGACTTTGCCTTGTTTTTTTTAAATTACACTGTCATCTAGAACGTGTTTAAACCACTTTCCTCGTGCCGTGCACTCTGGTTGACCCCACATGGGACGACGTTCGCATTGGGCGTGGCCTATTGTTCCTTTCATCTGGCCGCTGTTTTCCACAACTATCAACTAAAAATAACTAATATATTCTAATAGAATTTGGGGGAAACTTCGATAATTGACTAGAAAGATACATTTCTAGAAGCGTTGGTTCTACCGACGCATAGACATAAAAAGGGGATTAGGAGATTGATAGATTCAGATAGATATGATTAACTTTACTTTACGAGACAATTGTATTATTCTTTGTGTGCTCATATGTGTTTATTCGCCTTCATCATTCCTCATAATTAATTGGCACATTGTACTAATTGTGTACCGGTACAAGATTTTCCCATCCTCTGTAAGTTGATGATTTGTAATTATGTTTCTTTTGTTTTTATAATTGTATTATTACTAAATTAAATCTTATTACTTGTAATTGGCAACTGTTTTTCGTGTCGTATCTTTATTTTTATATTTCTCTATGGTATCGTCCTTTGTTGTGCACTGTGTGAACGAGCCATAAATTAAAACAAGAGATTAGTTTCTCACAATTGAAGCCAGTGTGTAACATATACATTACATCAAAAAGTATTATAAAAGTAGATTTTTGGAATTTAAAAAAGTAAAAACTCATTAAATGTTAAAAAAACAAAGCTAAAATTTGTGTGTGTTTTTTTTTGTTGCGCGGTTTTAAATCAAAGAAACTTAAGAGTTTTGGCAAAAATAGGCGATTACGCAATGACGTCAATTGCGTTTTTATTTAGAACAAACATACTTATTTTATTTCGCAATATTAACAACGCACTAAAAATGCACTAAAAACAACTGATGTTTGGGTTTTCCCAATAAATTATGTGATCA